ACTTCTGTCACTTAGGTGAAGTTTAGGAATGAAATCTACTGTGAACACCTTAAATCTCACCAGCTTCATGTAACGGTTTTCAAACTACCCCTGATTTCCACTTGATCTTCACAGCATGACAGTTAATCCCCACCACCGGAAGAACATTTCAGGGAAATGTGACATTGATTGAAACAATAAATTGGCTCTTTTCAGGGAAAAAAATCAGTCCTAAACTCTGCTCAGGGGTATATTTATAAACATATAAAGTGATAATCTCAAGATAGAAAGGGTGTAGGCCAGAGAGATAGTATAGAGGGTGTGGTTCTTGCCTTGCACTGGGCCAAAGTGGGTTTAACTCCTAACATGCCATATTATTCCCTGATTTTTCCAGGAGTGATTCCTGAGTGATGAGGCAGAGATAGACCCTAAACACTGCCAAGTGTAATCCAAAAACAAATTTTACAAAGTTGAATAGGGTGATAAATTCAGACAAAATTTCAGATCAGTTGGATGGATAAGTAGCCAGATACACAAAGAGGGGAAAAGCAAGCTTCCTATCTTCTGTCAATTAAACTAGTTTTAATTATTTGCCCCTATCCTGGGGATTGAGAGATGGTACCCGGTCAAGGCATAAATATGTCTTATACCCAACCAACCACCGTTTCATCCTCAATGCTATGTTGTGTCCTGAACATCACCAGCTCCAGACTTGGAGCCCTCCAGTGTTACCAGAGTGACCCACATTATCCTTGGTACTGCATAGCCTAAGCACCACAGTATTCTTGGGCCATTACATCAATCATGAGCCTGGTTAGCCAACAGTTGTTGGAATGGGAGCTCAAGTCTCCTGAGCACTACTTGCGAGAAAATGAAAATAAAAGAAAGAGAAGGAAGGAATAAAGGAAAGAATAAAGGAAGGAGGAAGGAAGGAAGGAAGGAAGGAAGGAAGGAAGGAAGGAAGGGAAGGAGGAAAGAAGGAAGGAAAGAAGGAGAGAAGGAATTGTTCCTCCTTTCTCTCTAGTTTTTAGGCTGGTATGGTTCATTTCCTTAGACAACTAGTCCCCAAAATTACAGTAACATGCAGATGAATGGTTGTTGAGCCAGGCCCTGCTCCTGGCTGCATGGGAAATTGGAAAGAATCATTTGTTTAAGTTCTTTATTTCCACATATAAAAATGACAGCTCTGTACTATGCGATCCCTCTTTGCCATTCTATTGTACAGTGCTGCAACAACTTCTTTGTATACTTTTATTTGATTCTTAACCTGATTTTTCTAATCTGTGACTTTGAGCAGAATGCCTGCCTCACAAAGTGACTGAGGAATAACATAGAAACTGAGTTGATCCCCCACATAGATCTTTTTGATTCCTAAAGTTAGCTATCAAAACTTCATAGAATAAGTTCTGAGATTGAGAAGCATACAATCATGTGAATCAATTTGAGTACATTATTTTATAAAGTAAGTGGGGGAATCATGTGCCAAAGATAGATAAAACTAGCTTCATCCACACAGAGCAGGATATTCAATCAAACTGCTGCTGGATAGAATAAAAATTATTTAGTCTTAGATACTCTATGTTTTTTCCATAGAGCCAAAAATGAACAGAGATGAGTTGCAGACAGTGTGTCACAGTTTTCTATTGAGTTGGAGAAAGAAATCAAGATAATATGCCCTGTTAGGTGACACATGAACTGGATCCAAAGTTGGAGGTACCTTGTCGCTCCTGCTGGACTTGGTCTATATACATGTTCACCACTCACATATTCACACTCACACTCTAGCAGCTATTTCTGGAATTCACCATTAAGATAAGAAAAGCTGAAGGCCAAGTGAACCATACCCAATTAAGCCTTTTATCAGCTTTGTTTTGTTTTGGAGGCCACACTCTGTCACATTCAGAGCTTACTATTGTGCTCAGGGATTGCTCCAGACTATGGTGGAGGTCATAGACAATGCTGGGATTCAAATCCAAGTTGACCTTGTTCAATGCACACACCTTAAAACCTGTACTATCTTGGTGGCCCCTATCAGAAGGACAAAGGTGGGAGTGTGGTTCAGTGTTAGAGCCCTTGCCATTGAATATGTAAAGCCCAGGGTTCTATTCCCAGCACTATAACTCTTTGAATACAATCAGGAGCAACCCCCTGAGCATCATGCTGGGAACCGAGGACCACTGAGGATGATGGCCAGCCAAAACATCAATAGTCAAAAAGTTTTTTTCTTTAAAAAAATGGAAAAAAGGAGGACGAAGAGGAAGAAGACAAAAGGAGGAGGAAATAAAGAAGAGGTAGAAGATGAAAAGAAGGAGGAGAAGGAGAAGGAGAAGGAGAAGGAGAAGGAGAAGAAGGAGAAGGAGGAAGGGGGGAGGGAGAGGAAGAGAAGGAGGAGAAGAAGGAGGAGGAGGAGGAGGAGGAGGAGGAGGAGAAGAAATTTACAAAGCTTGTTTTGGGGAGTTGGAGGTAGAAGTGGTACAAAAACATATATTTTTACATCTGTTCCCCTAAGTTACCTATATTTGGGCACCATACCAAATTACTAGTCTATAGTAAATCACTAGCATATAGCAAATCTATCAGTGCTTTATTTTTTTTAAGAGCAATGAAATTGTGACAAATACATTAAGTGTCTTGTGAATACTTAAAAACCCATCAACTGTAGCTCAATTGCCTAGACTATTTTATAGATTTGGGACTCATCCTCTCATGAATTTCAGGGTATTTGCCCTTGCCTTTTGCTCTAAGCACTATTGTGTTTCTTTAACATGTGCTAAAGGAGTCTGGAAATTGCTGAACAAATTTATACATTTCTCTCCAGAGTTACATATTATCCTAAGGGGAAATTCTGTAATAGCACAGAATGACAATAGTTAAAACCAAGTCTGAGGCAAAATTACCAAAAGGTGTTTATTCATGAATTTGTGTCAAGGGGGCCCTTCTTTCACCACTTTGTTCTTAATTAATTGTTCAAAAATGGTGGGAAGGGAAGTAGATTTTATGTAACAAAATTAGAAAATACTGAGATCATATCTGACTGACAAGTATTCTACTAAGAGAGATTTTAGGAAAGATGTAGTGACTTTCTAATTGGAATCTTTGACAGGATATTCCAAAAGAAGAAAGTTGTTCAGGGTGAGGAATAAAGGGTTTTCTCTCATGGTCAATTTCCCCGAGCACAGACTTCTTTGCTTTTTTGCTGTCACGACATGCCATATCTTATAGGACAATGGGAAAGAGTGTGATGCTTGAAGGCTTTTTAATATAAAGTGGATAGCACTGCATTATAGTACTGTCCTCCCATTGTTCATCAATTTGCTCGAGCGGGCCCAATAACGTCTCCATGTGAGACTTGTTGTTACTGTGTTTGGCATATTGAATACGTCACGGGTAGCTTGCCAGGCTTTACCGTGAGGGCGAAATACTCTTGTAGCTTGCCGGGGTCTCAGATAAGGGCAGAGAAATCTAACCCAGCTCAGCCGGGCCAGCTGCTTGCAAGGCAAATGCCTTACCACTGTGCTATTGCTCAGTCTCATATAATGGGTGAGGGTTAACTAATAATATGGTACTCTGATGGACGTGAAATGAGTTTGTTCAGTTTACTTAAATGGGTTGTAATTCTAAACTAGATGTTTAGGTCAAAGCAATTCTGATTAAGGAAAGAAAAAGCAATATGAGTTTAAAGAATATAACCAGAATCATGACACATCATTGTATCACTCATATTATCAATATTTCCTTGGAATTCACCATAATACCCTTTTTTACCCTTTTACCCAGGAAAGAGTTAATGGGCAAAAGATATATTTTTTAAAATATATATTGATAACTGGAGCGATAGCACAGTGGTAAACTGTTTGCCTTGCATGCAGCTGGCCCGTCTGAGCCAGGTTCCATTCCTTCACCCCTCTTGGAGAGCCCGGCAAGCTACCGAGCGTATCCCGCCTGCACAGCAAAGCCTGGCAAGCTACCCATGACATATTCAATATGCCACACACAATAACAACAAGTCTCACAATGGAGACGTTACTGGGCCTGCTTGAGCAAATCAATAAACAACAGGAAGACAGTGATACAGTGACAGTGCTATTGATAACTGAAAGAACATGGTGATAATCGATGTTTCTTTCTAATACTTGAAGAAGGAAGAGTGTAAGAGCATATATTTGGTTTTCTGGTCTTAAACTCTGATCACCTTGACCTATAAGTCTTTCCCCAGTGATCTGAAAAAGGCTAATTAAAACATCTGCTATGCATATAGGGAAGACTTGCTTTAAAAGTCCATTTTATTGATTGAATTTATATATGTACAGAATATGTGTATATTAAATTAAAGCAGTGCTATGCCTGTAGTAATTTATCTTGGTGTTATTTTTTTTACCTTCTCAGGTTGTGTATTCTTTCGTATAATCCATCATATTAATTTATATGATTTCTACATTATATAAATATGTTTCATCAAGACTTTGTTGTCCTGACTTTCCCATAAATTAAATGTAAAACTATAGATTAGATGTAAAACTATATTGACATACACTATGATTATTTTTGGTGTGTTCATGCCCATTTATCTCCTGTTGGGGCTAGAGGAAACATCTAGGGGATTCTGGGGATCAAACCCAGGTGATCTATGTACAAAGCAAGTGCCTTATCCACTATATATCCACTCTTTGCATGCAGTATGATATTTTTTTTTGCTTTTTGGGTCACACCCAGCAATGCACAGGGGTTATTCCTGGCTCTGCACTCAGGAATTACTCCTGGTGGTGCTCAGGGATATCATATGGGATTCTGGGAATCAAACCCGGATTGGCTGCATGCAAGGCAAATGCCCTACCCACTCTGCTATCACTCCAGCCCCATGCAATATGATTTTTAAGAGAAAAATAGTTCTACCTGCAACTTTCTCATATACAAATAATAACAATGGTCAAAGGTGTGACTTTCAGGTTTTAAATCATATATCGGTGAACATTTATTTAGCATTATATATTACTAAGCATCTTTTATTTTGTTTTAATTAGGGACTACTGAAAGAACAAGATAACTGATGTCGAGTAACAGTATGGAAGCATCCTGACTGCTTTGGAGTCTCCATAAATTGAGTGGATTCAACTTTTGCAAACAGACAAATGGTTCCATGAACAATTTGCTACAGGTAAGTGAGACATATAATTTACTGCGTTAAAATCCTTCAAAGATTCAATGACTGTGGGGTTGTTAATTGCATTTCAGATGATTATAATGTTCCATCGGTACAGCTGACAGCTTCTCTTCCCTCCCAAATGTACACATGTGGATACCAACATATGGCTAAATGTCTGGCCATTTCATCTTGTTCATTTGGGCTTTAGTCATTTACAAAGGGAGGAAGCAGGAGGAAAAAGTACCTACCTCATAAAACTTTTACTAGTGGTGATTTATGCAGAGGGGCGGGAGTCAAACTGCTCCTGGAGCAGATGTTTCTTTGCACTGCCCCGGGAGTTGAAAGACTGGCAGATTGGTCTGCCCAGGGTTCAGAATAAAACAAGCAGACAAATGGTGATGTGCTCCTCTTTTTTTTTGAAACCGGGGCAGCAGGTAGGTCATTAATATGGAACAAAGTGTTTGGGAAAGGGAGCTGACTTTTTATTCTTCCTTTGAAAACCTGGTGAGATTGGAAAGCTTGATGTGACAGCAGGGTAGTAGATACCATTGGGCTATTGAGAAAGTGGAACTTGTGTGTGTGTGAACCAGTTAGGAAGAGTAAAAGTCCAAGTGACTCACACAGGCAGCTGTTTATGAACGGGGTGGGGGTTATGGCAACCTCTGTAGCTAAATGTTGTATCTACAATGGTCAAAGGCACAGAGCCTGGAGGTAGTAGTTTTCCTGCACTGTTCAATGGAAATAATCTACTGGTTCACCTGTTGGGAATCATAGATTTGAAAAGGCAAAAAAAATCACATTACAGTGGCATTAAATTCTATCTAAGTGGTATGTGTCTACTTGGAAAACATTGAAATCTGTCATGCCGTTTTATACATTCATTCTAGAGTAGAAACTTGGTAAGAACCTAGAGCCATAGCAGGAGGAATGTTCATATATTTTCCTGTTAGTATTTTGCTCTCTTTGGATTGCATTATACAACAGCTATTTGTTCTAAATTCAGAAGCCAAAGATTTTCCCAGAAGCAAATCTTTCTTCTTCTATCAGCTTCTTCACATGATGTCAGTGAAGGTAAAGACATATCAGATGCCCTGGAGTCCACTCTGTTTCAAAACTCACATAAGAACATAGATGCTGAATTGTCTTTTAGCCTGTAAAGTGCTCTCTGAAAATGAGGAGGCAATGGTATGATAGACACATTCTTGAAGTTCTATAATATTTTTCTCACATGTGAGACTCTCATTGACTCTTTCATTGACTCTGATTTTAGTCCTTCCAATGTTAGCACGAGTTTAGCTGCTCATTTTCAGGGTCTCCTGTTCATAGAAACTAAAGTCCAAAGCTTATCGTGGAATAGTAAAATAATTTTGCTGATAATATAAGTGGAGTTGTTGAAACAGGATGATTAGAGGGCAAAACAAAATAAAGATGAGTTCTAGGATGGTCTTTTCATTTTGTTTTGCTTTGGGGCCACACCCAATGATGCTCAGGCCTTACTCCTGGCTCTCCACTAAGGTGGTTCTTGGGGGTCATATGGAATACTGGGGATTGAGCCTGAGTTGACTTTGTACAAAGCAAACACCCTCCTTATGCACTGTCTTTGAAGCCCCAGGGCGAGTGTATATTATTCTAGTGAACAACACAACTCATCTTGTTTATAACTTTTCTTGAATTTCCATTTCATGTTCTGTTGTTGTTTCTCTTCTATTTCTCCACCCCACACTCAATTCCCTTCTCTACCTCCATAACTTTTCTGTATCTAATCTAATTGCTTTCCTTATATTTTCTTAGAGTTGTTCTTTGTCTGATTTCTCCTTAAACTTTGCCTCTCAGGAATTATATAGTCACATTCCCTTCATTTAACTTAAAACCATGCTTTAACTGTTTGAAGCCCTTAGTTTTACACTCAAAAAGCAGAAACACAAGTTAGTTTTAACAGATTGTATTTAAGAATGGTGAACCAGGTACTAGAGACTTGAACAAGTGTAAGTTCAGAAAACGTGGGTGCACGGGACATGAGCATTCTGTGGCTGAGAATCATTTCCCCAGCCAGTCAATGTGACAGATGAATGAAGGAATGGGGAGATAGGCTGGTTGTTGGTCAGTTTATTTCTCTCTCTTTTACTTATATCTCTCTCTTTTTTAATTTTTATCTTTTACTTCTCTCTTACAGCTTCATTCTCCTTACTTCTCTCTTGCAGCATAGATGTTTCTCCCACAGGGCAGTTATTCGTCCTTCTACTTTCCTACAGCATAGTTATATAGAAATCATGAAGGTTAGTGGTACACATAGGTGGGATTGAACATTATCATAGCAACAAACAGATGTAAAGGCCTTCCTTCAGTGGGAAGTTCTCCTAGGAGATTAACTCAAGGACGAAATCTCATCTGAGGGTTCAGTACTCGAGATTTCTAGGAGATCCACTCACAGATGGGATCCCATCTAGAGTGTATTGCTTTCTCCTTTCCCCAGTTACTAATCCATTTAAACAATCATATTGGATACTAATATTTCTAGTCATTTTGTATGAACACAGTAAAAGATATATTATCTTAAAGGTTAAGTAAAAGATATATTAAGCTTAAAGGTAATATCTTCCTGGGATCATCTCACTATATATTCCAGATCATAGTCCTTAGGTTAGTCTTTCCTAAGGACAACAGAGTTCTCATTCAGTTACTTTTTTATGGGTCACTACAGAGTTTGTTCCATGACTGTGCTTGTAACTTAACTCCCATGTCATGAGAACATAGCATCAACTGTCTTCCTGTATTAGCAATGGCCTTATACAAAAAGACCATTGCTAATACATGCAAAGAATACAAAGGAAACAGAATAGCAATGTAGGATTATTAGTGCCTGATGGAATTGGGTGTGTCTCAGGAGCATGAGCCCTGTGGTGGGAGAAACTCATTCATTTTCATTCATCATCCTGTTAATCGTCGATTGCCTCGAGCAGGCCCCAGTAACGTCTCTTTCATCCTAGCCCTGAGATTATATTTAAGGCTTTTTAGGAGAATGAGACCCATCATTGTTACTGGTATTTGGCATATTTGGTGCACCACGGGGAGTTTGCCAGACTCTGCCCTGTGGGCAGGCTATATTCGATAGCCTGCAAGTTTGTCCAGATGTTTTGATAAGATGTTCCGGGAGCTGCATTTTGTAGTCTCTGAGTCTTGGCCGCTGATGGGATTACACGGCGCCAGGGGGCCAGGTGGTGGGTGTGACCCCCGCCTACTGGAATTTGGAGGATCTGGGTGGAGGATGCTCGACTCCAATTCGAGTAGGCTTGGAGATCTCGGCCCCGGAACCCGCGTGGCTTTGTCCCTCTGCCAGTACCTTCATGTGTGCGGAGAGTGGTCTCAGCATGGTGGTGGCTGGTCCTGGAGGTCTTCGGCTGCTGGAGCCCTGGTCGGGGTGGGGAGGAAAGCTCAACCCGCTCCCCTCCAAGGGACCCAGGTGAGGAACAGCCAGGCGCAGGGGCAGGAGACTGACTGCACTGGTCTCGTCCGGGAGCTGCATTTTGTAGTCTCTGAGTTCCAAGCCTACTCGAATTGGAGTCGAGCATCCTCCACCCAGATCCTCCAAATTCCAGTAGGCGGGGGTCACACCCACCACCTGGCCCCCTGGCGCCATGTAATCCCATCAGCGGCCAAGACTCAGGGAGAAACTCATTAAACCTAAACTCTACAGAAGGAGTGTCACATCCGGCGCTGCGGGTCCGAGCCAGGGGAAGGCCGTCAGGGTGAAAGCAACGCTCGAGACACACAGGGCTCCGTCATGCAGGAGATGGTGAAGGATCTCTGTTTATTGTTTCACACCACAGGTATTTATCCCCCCTCCAAGTCAGGCAGGAAAGGGGAAGAGGCAAGCAGTGGGGTGGGATGAGTCACGCACTGTCAGTCAGTTGATAGCCCCCCTGGCCCTCATAACCTTTACATGTGTCTCAAGGTAGTGGCTGCCACATCAGGCTTAGACATAACCACAGAGGACGTGCTAAACCGAGGGTACGCTCTAGATAAACATTTACAAGCTGGGATATTTCCCAAAACTGAGGCCATGCTGTTGATACCAGGAGGTTGCCCATAATGTGAGTGTGGGGGAGGCAGCAGATCAGGCATCCATTTTGTGCCAGGAGGCAACAAAAGAGTAAGAACAAATCAATATTATCCAACAAAAAGGTAAAAGGGGGCACAAAATTCTTAGAGGCTGGTCTCTATAAGGAGAGGCTACTGAGGCAGCAGGGATAGTAGGCATGAGTTTGAAAGGATTAGAATTTGGAAAATAGGAGGAGAGTCTGTTCTGGACAGGAATAGAGGGTAGGGCTGTGGCCAGCAGTGCAGAAGAACATGAGAAGCTCATGATGACTTGGGTCTGATATTTCTGTTCCTAAGCAGAGTTATGCCAGTCAACTTGGTGTGGTACCCAAACTTGGGACCACATGAAACTGTTACTCAGAGATTTGAGGGGGATACCGTGCAGCCATTATTTCAGTTTCCTGAAGTAGAAGAGCTTCACAGACAGATCCAGGGCCATATCTCTGAGGAGTTAGTAGGAAATTAGTGCTTTTCAATAGCTGGATGAGGAAACAATGAGGCTGTGTCTGGTGTGTAATTAAAAATGCAAATATAAACTGTGAACAGCTCCTTTGTAGAATGTTGCTCTCTGGAAAAGGAAGCCGGTTTCTACTTTCCCTTGGAACATTTAGTCTTTGTTGGGGAACAGTTTCTTCCCAACATGCCCAGACATGTTTGCGCACCAGACCCTGACAGATGCTGGACGAAGGATGACGGTGTGCCTGGAGAGACCACTCTGGGAGGCAGCTGATGGCCACTCACTTTATTCCCAAATACACATATTTTATAGAGGGTCTTGGCTTAAGAAGATGTCCCAGTCACATAAAGTTTAGCATTACTGACCTATCACCTTTGCAACCCTGCTTGCCCCAGCCCAATTCCAATTATGGGTAGATAGGAATGCAGTTAGGTAACAATTTTGGGGAATGAGACTC